CGGGATAGAAGCCAGGTGGATCCGTTTGGCGCGCAATTTTTGAGGGATCCACTCAACGAATCTACTCGCGTTGCATATTGGGCTTCCATGAAGGTAGCATGCGCTATACAAAATTTGAGCTTAGGACATTGGCTGGAAACTGCTCTGCGAATTTCGTAACAGACACACTCTCTCTCACTCACACACACACACACACACACACACACACACACACACACACACACACACACACACACACACACACACACACACACACACACACACACACACACACACACACACACACACACACACACACACACACACACACACACACACACACACACACACACACACACACACACACACACACACACACACACACACACACACACACACACACACACACACACACACACACACACACACACACACACACACACACACACACACACACACACACACACACACACACACACACACACACACACACACACACACACACACACACACACACACACACACACACACACACACACACACAAACACGTAAACACCCTTAGCCCGTTATTATAAGTTATGATGATATATTCTTATATTGTTATCCCTAATTTGGAACTAGTTTTAGTGCTTTTTGGAAAAGATGGAGAGACCTCAAGTTCTATGTTTGTACTGGAAGTACTACCAAAATCATTTTATGACTTATTACTCGCAGGTATGCGGAATTGTCAAGGAAGCGTCCGGGAAAACTCTATCTGTAGCTTCTTCGCTAACCTGAGTTCACCGCTACAATCCGAATCTCGACCTTAAAATAGCGCGAAAAGGGAAAGTGCTTTTGCACAGTTAGTTTCGAATTTTGACGAGTGAAACGGTTAATGTCTATGATGAGAGGCACAGTCGTTGCGGGACCACACGATCTCAACTGTGACGGCCGCAGAACAGAAAAAAAAACTGGGGAACAAAGGCTGATGTGGCCGGCATGACTGATCAAACTCGCAGAGATTCCGCAATGTTGACGCGCCCTTCGCTGTAGATCACGCTGCCATAGCGCCCATTCGCATAAGGTTTTGCATGTTTCATTCCTTTTAGGAATTTTTTCGCCTTTTCAGATATTCTGTTAGCGCTCGGTTTCGTCATTTGTTCAGTATCTAATCTGCTCTCTTTTCAGCTTCGTGTTTTCTTAAAAGCGAATCAAGTCTTCGGCGCAATCCATTACGAGTACTAGGTGCTGATCCTGTATGCGATTAATTAACTAAACAACTGTTTCACATTGTCTTATAAACTCACTGTGACTTTATCCAACATCTTGTCGCTTTAATGGTGAAACAATTTCGTTTTCTTTCATTAGAGGAGGTTTTTGGGCACTTTTGATGGGATTTTGACGTCAGTTTGCATCTATAGCTTATTGTAAAAGTAGAACAAGTTATTCCAAAAGAAATCTATAAGTATCTCACTTTTAAGGTGTTTTTTTTTTCTAGATACCCTCATCTGTTGTACACATATCACGAACAAATTGATGCCCATACGATATGCATCTAAAGTTATTGTCTTCAATTACGGAAACATGCTCAAGGACTGTGTAAGTTCTAGTTAGTTGAACATCAGCTGTTGTCTTTCAAATTTGATAGTTTAATTCCTGGTACTTTTAAGCTGCATATCGTCATATCTTGATTTTGTAAATCCTTTCATTAAGTTGGCATAAGAATGCTTCTCGGAAAACTCTTTGCGCGGTACCTGAGTTGACAGGTTGGAGACCAAAGCCTTCCTGCCTATGAACACGTCTCGGACCGCGAAATCGCGCACGGCGAAAAAGAGTGCACTTTCACCCGTAAGCCAACAAAAGCACCTTATTTCGTAAACTGTGTGCTACATCTGTAATCAGCTTGTCAGATGAGTTCCATTCCCAAAGTTCTGCATGGATTGGAAGCGTTCAAATTTTGTCGCTTGTGAAGGACTGCTGTGCTTTCCTAAAGATAGGAACAAGAGCTCGGTTTCTAATAGTATCGAAAAGTATTTATGCTATAAATGGTACACGTCAGTATTGAAACTACGGTTTTTCTCTTTGAAATGGAAGCAAAGGGAAGTTGCGACGTCGCACGCGTTGTTCGCGTTGTCACACTTCGTTGCGACTGTTGTTCGATTTGCGCTCATATCTCCTAGATAAATATCAGCAGCACAACTCTACAGAGTCATCTGAAAAGTATAAGCTTAGGCCTTTGACTTTATAACCTTGGGCCAAAAGAAAACCTCCTGTAAACGACAAAAAGATCCTTCAAAGTAGGGAGCTGCACCATGTGCAGCATCGCTCCGAAACGTGATGAAACTTAAATGTTATATCCAGGGTCAAGCAAGGGGTGTGGCACACGATCGCTGGTTACGACCTCCCCTCCCCCCCCCCCCTGACTGCTGTCTTAATAAGACCCCCCCCATGAACTATATACCCAAGATAGCATTACCAGAGTTGAGAAAGAGGTCAGGCACAAGTCTTTCGACCCCCCCCCCCCTCCCTCCCATGAAAGCCCTCAAACGACCCCTTCTTCCTCCTTTTAACCTCTGGACCTCAAAGACATTCTGGAGGACACCATCTTTTTCTAGAGAGTTTTCAGATTTCTCAGAGCTGTACGCCCGATTTTCTGTGACTGCACTTTACAATCACACGTAATTTGACGCTGATTTTGATCTGAATGGGCATATTGAAAGGGCCATAATTTTCTTATGGGTGGGGCATTCGGCTCCAAATTTCAAATGTAGCAAGAAGAAGCTATGTGCTCAATACTCATACCAGCAATGGAGCGCTTTCTGGATTTTGAAGGCAAGTTAAGGGGGTGCGGCACACCCCCTTAAAAGCTGCGGCAGCCGCAGCTTTCAAGGGGTTGTGCCGCACCCCATTAACTATATCAAAAAAAAACATTTTTAGCAGACAGTTTTTATATGAATCGATAGCCTAAACCTTGTAGATTCCATGGGACTGTTGGAGCCTGATTTGTCTTCTTAGCTCTAAGTAATATTTGGTGAAAGCACAGCGATCAAAAGCGAAGAGTGGGAAAAACGAGATTTTGGTTGGCTTCTAATTCCACAGTCTGCAGGTCTTCTGAAGCGGGATTCCTGAGGTGGACAAAGAAGGAGTAGTGCGTTGTCTTGAGTGCAAAAACGGATAGCTAGTTCACCTTTGAAACAAAGTTAACCATGTAGGAATTTGACCATTTCATTTAGGAGGTAGCCTAGTATCTTGAATCTTCAAAATTCGCTCACACTTTGTCTACAGGGGTTAATTGACATGCTAATTATGGATATGATACGAATATCATGTTATCACTATTATCAGATTACTCAACTACGACCCCCTCCCCTTCTGACTCCTCAATACGACCCCCCAGGTGTGGCGTGCCGCACCCCACGCTTGACCCTGGTTATATCATATACACAGATGGCGATTATTGGACGAACCCATGGAAATAAAGCTTTTGCCAGGTTTCGTAGCTCATTCAAAAGAAGCTGGAAGTTCTTATATTAACGACGTTGATAGCAGAGCAGTTGTTGCTAACTAAATTTTTCATGTGAGGACCGATGTGAGGTAAGAAGGGCATACGTCTCAGGCCCGTATGCAAGTATATCCTCGCGGGGAGGGGAAGGAATCTGAGAAGGGATGCGACATATCTCGCTACTCTTGATATCTTTCTTCTTCTTTCTCTATCCGGCTTATGAAGGTTCTCACACCTTTATACTTGTACATGATAAATGCCAGGTTGCTGCCATACAAGACTAGATTTCCACTATTTTGTGCGTTACCCTGGGGATCGCACAGAATAGTGGAAATCTCATTTTTAGAGGTCATTTATCTTCTTTTAAACTCAATGGGAACGCTATAAAACTCTAATGAGAATACTAGGGCACTGCTGACAAGGTGGAAAGTATTGAACATTGATCCCAAACTTGCCTTCACTAACTGCCAAGTGCCTTCGGACCGCCGAGTTATGGGCGTTTTTCGGTCAAAAAATTGAACGCAAAACTGGAACAAAAATGCCCAAATTTGCTCAAATGGTCCGGTGTTGAGTATCAGAGCCGTTTATGCAATGAATATAATCTGTCTAATATGCTAATACTTGACATTGCTTCGTCTGAGCGCTGGAAAGATTTTGATAATCGATTTTGCCCAAATTGCATTTATTTTTCGTTCTAAAAGGTCATAACTCGGCATCCAGAGAAGCTTGGCAGATAATGAAGGCAGATTTAAGGGTGGGTCTGGTATGTAAAGGCCACTTTGACTAAACACGTTTCCATTGTCAGCATGTTTTCTACAGTAGAAATGGAATCTGAAAGTTCTCTTTTCCGGTGATCCCTACTTTTCGGTGCCACATTATAACCTCAGCACAATTTTACAGCGTTTCTATTGAGTTTATAGGAAGATTAATGACTTTGAGAATGAGGACTGATCTTAGGAATCTCCAGGGGATCATACAATATAGTGAAAATCTAATCTTGTATGGCATAACCTCGCTGTTATTAGCGTAAATATGAGGATTTGGGAACCTTTGTACCAGATAGAGAAGTATTAAGAAAAATAGGTCCGGGTCCGCGGCACTTTTGAGCCTACTTAGCTGCATCCAGAGTTGGCCGTATGCTGAATCTGTATCAGCGCCTGCGGGACCCACGTGCATCATTCCACTTATCGATTGACGAATCTCGGCACAGCTTTGGCAATTGCTGGAACGCTGGAACGGGCTACTTTGGACGCAGCCTTCATCTGTGGGAAATAGTATCTCTGTACCAATTTATGGAAACTGAATTAGCAAATGAAGGGTCATGCTTCGATCGCATTATAGTAAGTCTATGGGTGTGGAAAGCAAGAGTAGAAATCTCACCGAACCCAAGAGGTGCAGTACAACAATTCTACTACTTTTAACCGGAGTGGTTTTGGTGTTCACAAGAAAAAATCAAGATGAACAGGTTGGAAATCCTATTATCATGCATTCCATATCGTATATAGAGTCTGTTCGAGTATTTTTTATTTTTACACAATCGTTTGTGCTTGCGGAGTGCATTATCATCATGCGAGTTCGTGACATCAGCTAACCTTCCAGTCGAAAGGGCACCTTCTGTTTTCAGAAAGCTATTCATATTGCCGGGATTCTAATTCTTCTTGTGGGCTTGGAAGCTGTGTGGGGTATCACTAGAACATATTAGAGATCCAGTTTTGTTGAACTTGCATTAAGGAGAGGAGGAAACGAAAGAAGAAAGGGCGGAGGCGAGCGGAGAAGGGGAAGAGGCGAGTGGAAAAGAGGAAGGGGCTGAAGAATATGACGAATTACAAGCTGCCCCCGCAAAGAAAAATCGTGGAGGTAATGCTGCAGAAGGTGAGGTCCAAAAAGCTGTTGCAGTCTTCACTTAAAAACCTGCTTTGATCTGAATCTGCACTTAGAGAATCCAAAACCACCACTTGAAGCACAAGAGCCAGTACCTGTTGAAGCAACAAATTCGCCTAAAAGTAATCAAAGTGCGAATTTCGACTTTCAATGAATTTTCGAATATAGAACTGGGAAGAATGGTAGACTCAATTGTGCCGGTGATTGTAGCAGTTGGAGCGGCTTCGCTGTAGTTACGTAAAATGGCTGCTTTTACCAATGTATTGTGCCAGTGCATAAAGCTGTTGGCCGCATTTGTGCATGGACCACATCTTATATAATTAGTGTTCTTTTCGGACGTATGCTCAAATAGGTACATTCGAGTCATTTCCTATGATCATATGTGTCACTGCACGCATAGCGTCCCCACCCTGGATTTTAGGTACAGACACCTCTTCAAGTAGGTGTTTTCGATGTTCTCTTTATGTTTTCTTTCCTTTGTAATACCAATCTTCACAAGTTGATGGAAGCGATGACATTCGGTCAGCCTATTTCTCCTCTGCACTTGCAAATCTAGGATGGGGTAACAATGTTGGACGTTGTGTGTTATACACATACCGTGCTCACTTCTGCTTCGCAGAGGCTCGCACTGGCCCCTACTTTTCGTATGCCTTACTCGCTCCCGCATAATAGTGACATTGAAACTCACCGTGCTATGCCGACTACCACAAATGAAATGTAAACAGCTACTCACTTAAAAAGCTTTTTCACGTGAGATCGATGATTTCGCATAGAAAAAACGCAGGAAGACAAAGGCAAATTTGAATAGGGTTTGAATTTTGATAGTCGTGGTTTGATAGTCGCCAAAAAGGCTATTGTCACCGTAAGCTACATCTCTGTGCGAAAATCTTCTCAAAAGCTTTTCCAGAACCTTGGCAAAGTGACCATTAACGCAAGCAATACTTTTTGGCGCCGTTTTTGTAAAGTAATGGACTTTTGGTCACTTATTTGGGCCTAAGTTCATGGCTTGCACATTTACCTGCCATGAACTACTCAACGAATCTGCTTGTGCTTTTACATGTTGGACTTTCATGCCAGTAGCAAGTGCTATGCAAAATTTGAGCCCAGAACGTTGCTGGAACACGCTCCACGAATTTCGTGACAGACAGACATTCAGACAGCCATAACTATTATTAAGTTTATTTGAGTTGACACGACAGTATAACTCTACGTATAATTTGCCCTTGAGGTGCCGAAATTGTGCGTTGAAATTTGCGCTTCAACAACATCTGAAGATTATTGTCGAATGGAAGCGGAAGGCAATACCAATTGAGCGGGCCGAACATTGCGCGAGTAACTTTACTGTTTCGCGTTTGCCTCTTTGTTACTCACCTGTGCAGCAGCGATCCTTACGCATCAGTTCCTTACTTTACAAGCACATCATTGTTGAGAGCATAAGCACTATTCTATGCCTAAGCACTATCCTATATATCAGGTGTCATGGTAGCATTCGATGCTGCATTTCATCCTCTTTCTAAAGGTTATGAAATTCTTGCAAAACAATCAATGAGCTTTCAGAAAAAAACCAAAATATGCGACCTAAGCTTTTTGAGATGTTCAAGTTTTACAATTTTTCTAAACTTTTATATCAACCCTCCGGAAAAGCGAAAGTAACGTATTTATAAAGTAAACCTTACAGGATGCAAAACAGTTTTTTCCTCTTTCCCACGGCTTGTAATTCATTTTTAACAGAATTTTGACTGATGTTACCGATTTCCACACTTGGACAGTTAAATCTACATGGAACATCAAATGGTGAGCAACTCGGATGTCATTCGATACAGCTTGTTCTCCTTTTTCTAATGGGTGCTTTTTGTTCCCGATTCCTTCAGTATTCGGAACTAAAATCCTCTAGCTAATTTTTCCAACGAGCCACAGGCTGTGCCCGTAGAACTCGAAATTCGATATTTCGAATCCGTAATTAATCTCTCACTTGCTTTGTAAAATTAGTGCTAACTTATACTGCCATCTCAGTAGTCTCAAATTCCGAACAATTTATGATGTTTGATGCGATTGTGGCTAATGTAGGCCTGCCGAATTCCGATGGCTTTGTTAAAAAATCTTTTAAAAAGTTATGGCGAGATTTGAAAAAGAGAAAAGAGTTGTACTGTATTCTATGAGGTTTGCTGTATCGGATCCTTACTTGATCTCCTTCCGAGGATTGACATGAAAGTTTCAAAAAATGTGAGACTTGACTATCTCAAAGAGCATAGGTCGCAGATTTTGGTTATTTGCTGAAAGCTCATTGAATGTTTTGCAAAAATTTTATAAACGTTAAAAAGAGAATGAAATGCTGTTTCGAATGCTATCAAGATCTCAAAAAAGCTTTGTTCCATCATGTGGCACCCGTTTGAAAAAGCGAAATTACTTTTGAAACGACCTAATATAAAGCTGTAAGCTTTGTCTGTGTGTATGTCTGTATGTACGTGTGTTCCGAATAGAAATATTTGTTTCTGAACGATCCGGACCTAACCACACATACAAACGGGGCGAAGGTTCATAGCCTGCTTTTCGTCACGACTGATAACGATTTTATTGATTATCTAAAAAGTTTGAGCCACGCGGCTGCGAGTTGGCATGGGGCAGGGTAAGGGGAGGCGGTAAGTAAGCATGGTAATTAGGATTATATTATTCACAGGGCAGGGCGGAGCCGGGTCTGCCAGCTGGTTCTTTATAAGGCTGCGTTCATACTGATCCCAAAGTTCAGTAACAGTTCCAGCACAACGGTCGGTTCGAGCACTTTGCTGGAACGTTTCCGGACTTCGGGATCAGTGTGAACGCAGCCTAAGGCATCGGTTTGATTGTTTCGGGAACGGTTGGAACTGTCTTTCTTCGCTAGCAACACACTAATAAAAAGTGGAAAATCTTGAATTTTGAGATAAGAAGATAATGGCGGATAGATAGCAGCTTTGTGCAGACGGCGTCACGGCTATGAAAGAAAGAACATTCCTGAATAGCGATTCATAACTTCTTGAAAAATTGAACGATAATTTCGGCATGCTTGGATTGGGGGAGGGGGGGAGGGCTCGTAAAAATATAGAAGAAAGTGACGTTTAAAGCAAAAGTTTTTCTTCTTCAGTCACATTTTCGAGAAGTTTTGATATTTGATGTTGATTCAAAACTGCTTGAACGCGTTGCTTTTACCATGAAATGAAATTTCACGATAAGCAAGACTGTAATCCATTGGCCTGTACTGAACCCCCATTTATCTCAATTGACCTAAGGTTAATCATTCAGAGGAGCTTTCTGGGTAAACTTAGAAAAGCCCAGCTTTTCGTGCTTCAGGATGTCAGTTGAACAATTAGAAGACCTCCTGGCTAAGTGCCACCGGTAGTTCAACAGAATGCCACTTAGCCAAGGGCAGGTTTTGATGTAAACCGAAGGGGATAATGAAAGTGTGCAGGAGAGGACCAGACAAATCCGTGACCTGCTTGTGAGTAACTTACGATTTAGTTTAGTTAACGTATTGTTGCCATGCCTTGTCTGCAAAATTCATTCTGCACATTTTCAAGGCACCAGACGAGAATCGATGAACAGATGATTGTGGCGAGAAAATAGGAAAAAAGGTTTTATTTCTTTTTTGCGGAGTTCGCTCAAGTTTTTTTTGAGAGCTGCATAGAACAATTCATCTATTTTGTTCAATCCGTTTGTATTCAAGCTTCTCAGTTTTCCATGATATCTTGGCCAAAATATTAGGCTGATGCAAAAGTAATGGCCGTTTTTCCAACTCTTTTTCAACAACTTTTCTCCACCAAAATCTTCTTTGAAACAGTCAGGGCACACGATTGAGAAGCACTTTTTATGCTCTATCTGATAATGGTTAAAGCGGGCTTCCAATATCATCTTTCGGTTCTCAAATTTTATTGCATTCACATTTGCGGACAGGGCCTCGTGTTAACAGTTTTTGCAGAGTTCGTGTATCTGTTAAGTACGCAGAAAATCAAAAAACTCCATAATTTAGTACTTAGAGGCCTACGAAAAAAGTTAAATAAATGTGACAACTTTGATCAGTAAGTTTTTCGTCCTCTCTTGTTGAAACCTCGGCATAATTCAAACTGTGTCAGTATAATGGCTGCGACACTCATGTAAAATGTTATCGTAAAAGTAGCTCTAAAAATATCTTATTACATGCTCGTTCGGCACATCCATCAGCCGTCAAAAATGCTGTAGTCCGAAATATGTTAGAACAGCAACACAAGTATGTACGGGAAAGAAAGAGCAGAGAGAGTCGCGAAATGTTGCACTGAGCATCGCAAGGAAAAATGGCTATCCGATGCACCACGCTCGGGGTAGACCATTCCCTTCACGAAATACTGCTCAACATAACAACAAAATAGCGCTCTGTCTTCCTTTCATTTCGGATGAAATCAGTGTGAAATACGCACAGCATTAAACGAGCACAACTGAGCGAAGATGTCATTTTAGTGAACATTCCGAGCGACAGTCTCAAAAGACGACTTGTACGGAACAGGCTTTACGACAAATACTGCATCTCGAAAGAGTGCGTAGTTTGTCCACATAGCAGCATTGGTGATTGCGCAAAAACAGGGGTAGTATATCAGATAGAATGTTTAGTTTGTGGTGCTAGCTATATAGGAGAAACCGGAAGACCACTTGGCGTAAGAGTTAAAGAACACCTTGCCAATAAACGAAGAGGTAGTCTAGTTTCTCCGCTCGGTAGACATAAACATGAATATCACCGCGATCAAGACTACGAGATCAAATGTACAATTTTGGCTTACGAAAAAGATACGTCTGCGCGGAAAGCTCTCCAAGCGTTCTGGATCACACGCAAAAAGCCGCTTATGAACAACAGAAACGAGTGCTTTGCCGTTACGAATGACTTCATGCCATTTTTATCACTGTGTGAGCTATGATAGAGTAGTGCGATGATTACATCTACAATGAGCCGCTTAATGTGACTCATTGGCACTACTATCACCAAGGAAGCGGTCGCACTATATCATCAAGTGACCGGCGGTGGAGCAAAGGTTTGTTCGTCTTCTCCCATCTAGCGACTTTTGCATGTAAAACCTGAGAGGGGATCGAGAAGCTGACCGAGGGTTGACGAAGCACTTGGGGCAGACATAAGATCACTAATCCCGCATCACTTTAGGCCTCCGAAGACGACGAGTAGTCGAAACGCGTTAGGCCACTGAGGTAATAAATTGCTTCGCCCAAACCTCGTGCTGGCTACATCATACTGACACAGTGTGACAACTTTGTTTTTCAAATTTTGCTGCAAATTTTCTAAGCCCTTCTCATCTTTATATGCACTATTTGGCTTGCTGCTATAAGATGGTACATGTACATCGGTATTGACGAACTTTGAAGGGAGATATGATTTGTTGAAAAATATCTCAGAAACTTTTCTTGTTCATTGATCCATATTTTTTTGCTGTTTGTGGTATGAGTTAGGTAGATGTGCGCTATACTGCGAAAGTTTTGCAGCCTCTAATGGCCTTCATCGCATTGAAAATTATAGAAATCTTAGAAAGTTATAGCATGTCAAAGTGATAGCTCGCGGAACGGCTATTATTTTCGCATCAGCCTAATATCTTAATTTGGTTTTAACCATGTGTTTGCTAAGCGATATCCTTGATATCCGTCATCATTGATTTTTTCGATAGTAGCCGCTATCGATTCCGGCGATGGCGCAAAAATACTCCACTAATCGGCCTCGCATATGCTGCTAAAGACGTTTCGTTTTTGAAAGCGCCCAAGACCTATGTCTAGAAGCGATCCGCATCCGAATCAACTTAGCTCACTGGATGCCGGACGGAGGCATCCTAGGTTCAACGAAAGCGCGCCCTCAGCCCAGCTGCGCTGAACAGAGGTTTACTACGGGCAATTGTCTTATTTGCTCTCCAACTATTTCGGAACCGGTCATAGCGGAGACTACTGGTATTCGCTATTTAAAATGATCTCTAGATAAATTACGACAAAAGCAATGGTTACACAAGGTTAAACTCGTCTCGTCACGTTATGACCAAGAGCCAACTGCTTTTCTACCTCGCTATCAACATTTTCTAAATGATGATTCCTATTTCTATTTGATTCAACACAGACAGGGAAACCATAGATTTAGGGGTCCGTTTCGCAGAACCGCACAGCAGATGCGCAGATATCGTCCCTTCCATAGTCGCTCTGAACTGGGCACGAGTAGCCAATATGTTGGCAACATGCAGCAATATGTTGGCGCTGAGGCTGATAGCCAAAATGTTTTTATTGCATGTTGCAAACATTTTGTTGCACGTTGGCAACATGTTAGCCATACGTGCAGGTCAGAGACGCAGACTTACCTTCGATAGTCTAGAGACAGGGCATCAAAAGTGAAGGTTGTTTAAACATCTGCCCTCATAAAAAGTAATGATAGTCTATAGAAGATCAGAGAAGAAGAAAAGATGCAAAACAGATACAAAAAGCAAGAGGAACTGCTGAAAACCGGATAAAAACGCTGCAATGAGGTTTGAAACCTTTCATTTGATGGCTTTGTGCAGGGTTTTCGCTCCAGGACCAGCAATTCGCAACGGGGGAAAAGCTAATTTCTCTTTTGTAATTGTTTTTGAAAAAAACCATGTTAGAATGTAGTGGTTATTAAGCAGAAGATAAACAAGAAAGAAATTGGTAATGAAGACGCAGAGTTTCTTTTTTCTAAGTCGAAATGCACGTCAAGGCTAAATATAGTTTTTGATGCGTCCTTTGAGTTTTTACCTCCACATTGACGTTCCTGTTTCTTGGAACGTTGTCTGGATTGTTGCGCTTATTGTTCTGAGCAACAATCGTCCAAGCTGGAAAAAAATCGCTGCGAAAGCAGTGAAACAGAACAAGGTTAAGAAAAACGCACTTTTACGATTTTTCACAAAAAATTCCAACTCAATCGAAGAGATAAGCATTGAGTTGTCTGCATTGTGAACAAAGGCAAGATTTATAGAATGCACGAAAAAACCACGTGAAAAGAGTTGAACTAGAGGAAAAAACAAGAGATTTTCGAAAACAAGGTTTTTGCTGGACTCCTTGTTCAAATCGAAAAATGTGGTTTTGGGACGTCGTCAGCGTGAAAGTAGAGATGAAGAGCTTTAGAATGATATATAGCTTGCTAAAATTGGGTTCGAAGCAACGAAGAAAAGAATACCAGAGCCAAATGCCCCCGCCCCGCGATTGGGGTAGCGAGGTAGCGCGCAGCACGCGGAGACGCAGACGAGCAGCGGAGACAGACCAGAGCCGACGGGGCATTTGGCTCTGGTCGTGGATCACCGCGAAATCTCAACGAAACCCTGCAACATTATATATCATTCTGATCGCCATGACACTTGACGAGGAGCAATGAAACGACCCAACCTTTGAAAATCACACATTAACGAGATAGACCAGCATTTTCGTGTGCGAGTCTCTGCGCAAGATTCAAGCGCAGTTTTTCGATTTTAATCACTCCAGTAGCTTTCCTAAACTTCTGATACCTAATTTTTGCCAAATAAAAGGTTAATTGAGAAATGTTGTCCTGGATTCTGGGAAACTTTCACAGAAACTTTCTTTTTAGCGTAAAATAGGCCATAAAAACGCAAATTCTCGATTTTGTCGAGAAAATCTAAAATATTCTTCCCTTTATCTGCTTCACTCACATTCGTTCCGATGTAGTCAGGATTGAAACATCCGGGAGAAGCCCCGGATAACTCCTGTTTTTTTTCCAGGTGAAGGTTGTGTCCTCTCATGGCTCTCAAAGTGATGGTTACCAGAGTACGTGGCTCTATGTATCGAGGGTATGACGCAGAGCAAGGGTAGAAGCAACTGTGAAAGGGACGATATGTTGAGAATGTGTCCTCATAGAACTCGACGACCGCCATGCAAGTTGGATGAACTTGTGTCAGAAGAAATTCAGATACGATTCAGCATGGGTCCGCGCTACACTCAAGCACGGGTAGAGAGGAACGAACACCTCAATTTTCCACGCCTCCGCGGACTGCTGTCCTTTCGTCGTAGTGTTATGCATCGTGTTAGGACCAGTAGTCCGCGGAGACGGTGCCTAATTGAGGTGTTCGTTCCTCTACCCCTCAAGCACTTAACCTTTGATTCAACTGGCTTGGCTTCGGGAAGGCGGGATTCTGTGAAGCAATTACGGCCGCTCGCGCCTGCGATGCACCTGCGTCTCTCTCGCGAGTGCTCTGTTATCACTAGCTAGCCTTAATTAGTCACGGATCCCCGCCTTCCCGAAGCCAAGCCAGTTGAATTAAATGGTAATCCTCACGTATCCACTTTGCTACTGGTCAAATCAGGAACTCAATGGCTAAGTAGATGTCCACATGATCCGCTTGATAGACTTGATCCAATTGATCCAATTGATCCGCTCCACCCGTTTTTGGTGAGTTATGGATTAAGGAATCAAATGGCGGCGCATGCTTGAGGGAATGTGACAAGAACCGTGCAGAAAAATCTAAATGGTTGGCTAATAAATAAGTTCGGTCGCTTTTTCAGCTCTTACAAATGCTGTGGACAAATTTTTGTCCAATGTTTGGTATCTCTGAAAGAGCACTCTACTGGGTTTTGGAGCATATACAGGGTGTCCCAAAAAATGTTTCGAACGTTTGATCGTTAATATCTCTCTTCCCAAGAAGTCCTTTGCCTTGCTTCAAGTACCGTTTTGTAGAGCTGGCTTCAACTTAGATTTGCGTTATAGAACGAATCACCCATCTCTCTTCATTACTGTAGGATTACGGTAGAAACTTGAAACATATGCTGTCAATGTGGAAAAAGCTACCGTTTCAAAATTTTTCAAAAAATTGTGAAAACTTGTGTAATAGGGTTTTTATGGACGCTGAGTTCAATACTCAACTATTCACAATATTACAAAGCTTTCTAAACGGTGTAACCGCACTTTTTAAGAACATTGAAAAAATGGCCGCTACCTCTTACCTGGCATAACTCTTTAATGAAGCATCATAATAAGTTGGGAACTTCACAATTAGAATCAGCAACTCTAATTAGCCTAGTGTAAAAGTTTTCAGGATGTTTTGTTTCCTTTCTGAGGCAAAGTATGGCCTTTATGGCCCAAAACCCTCTTTCAACTTTCTACCGTAATCCTACAGTAATGAAGAGAGATGGGTGATTCCTTCTATAATGCAAATCTAAGCTGAAGCCAGCTCTACAAAATGGTACCTGAAGCAAGGCAAAAGTCTTTTTGGGAAGAGAGATATTAACGATCAAATGTTCGAAACATTTTTTTGGGACACCCTGTATTTTGTTTGAATAATACTTATCTTCCAAGGAAGAAAAATCCGCAAAGAAGTGAAAAATCACAATTTTCTTATAATGTGCTAATATGAGGAAAATTGGTTTTCTTATTGAAACATTTTCAAAATGGCAGATCACAGTTCTTTTTGTTGTTTACTAAATAGGGAAAACTCCTATGTACCCAAACACCAAACTACTGTAATTTACATCCATTACAGCATGAAAACAAAGCTCAGGAAGTCAAGATTGAGCTTTTGGAAATTTCGCCATGTTAAGGCATAACCGTCTTTACTGACTATAGAAAATCCTGATTATTTGATATGCGATAGAGGAAGCTTCGAAATACTCTCCCACAAAGAATCACAGATTGAAAACAACAAGAAAATTTTTTTGATGTTGTATGCCAAAACGAACTTATTTTTTAGCCAACCTAATAATTATACAAGGTCTTACTCCAGTCACTTTTCATCTGTTCTAAGCAAAGGCTGAAGATGCATTGCGGCCAACAACTCATTCCACGGTCTTATTCTCAAGGTAGATGCCATATCAAGTGATACATTCACAGCATTGAAGTCTCGATGCGGTTTTTATGACGTGATTAAAAACGGTGATACTTATCTATGACGGGTCTAGCACAGTGCTCGGTTCTTCAACCTTGACTTCATTCTTTCCACGACATCCAAGATCAACACATTCATCACCTTGCATATAACAGGAATATGTTTTTGCAAGTTTCGTTTGCAATCCGATGGACAGGCCGTTGACAGCCAGTAGTAAAGGATAAGTGGCAAATGAACGGAATAGATTGTTTAGACAATAGCAGTTCTTAGCTGAGCTTTCAGAAACTATTTTTATAGTTTTTATGAAATTTTTTTATGTTCGAGTGAAGATATGAAAAGAAGATGTTGAAGCCTCGAGTTTTTGTTATTTGTGTGTCATACAAGTAATGCAATGTTCTCCAAAAAATAAGCTAACAACAAGTGCAACACATGGGTTACCAACGTCTAGACCACAAAATGCCAAAAACCACAATCCTTTTACAAGTTTAGATAATTTGCAATGACTCAGCAATCTTGGAAAATCAATTTATCATGTCAAAGGACTTGTTCTAGGAAGTTTAGTCAGAAATCACGAGGCATCGCATCGTCAACTCCTTTCTTGGATAGCAGATGTTGGAATTTTTTTCCGCAGTTTTAGTTGAGGGTCTCTAGACGTTTGAGAGTTTTGTCGCCTAAAACACAATTTATGAGGAAATTAAATGAAAATCGAAGCTGTCTTACTTGTTAAAACTGCCGTAAGCGCAGGGAATTCCTTTTTGAAATCCTCCTTAGCTTCGTCAGACAACTCCTTGTATTTTTTGATAGTTTCGAGACCCGCCTCTTTCAAAATAGATTTCTTGGGTTGGTCGTCAGCAAAGTATCTATTACGTATCTTGCGTGCACGTTCTATTAGCTGAACAACGTGGCAGTCCAACTTTTTGCGTGTCGTTACAAAATACCCACATCTTTGGCAAAGGCTTGCGCTTCGGGTTTGAGTGCATCGACCTTTTTCTTCATCAGATCAGTCAACTTCTTAACTTTAGCTCCAAGATCCGCAGATTTCTTCGTAACTTCAGCAACAAACTGAAACAACAGTGTGACGCCGAAACTTGCCCGGAGGTTGAGAAGGGTTAAGTCAGACGTTAAAGCAACCATAAGTTTCCGTATATTAACTAGTCTCTCCGGTAGACTTCCAAAAAAGGTAATCTTTGTTGATAGCATTAAAAATCACGCCGTCGACTAGATTCAAAACAAAGATTGTTTGTCTGTCGTATCAAATGAAACTTTGCGTTTGTGCTTTCAAGCAATTTTCAGCAGACGTAGATTCCATTTTCTGATGTTTCTTGGAACAGTGGACAATTATTTCTGTTCGAAAGGCCATTCTTAAGTTTGAAAATTACAGAAGACGCAAGAATGCTTGTCCGATTACGACGCAATATCCAAAAATTTGATAGCTTTGGGAGTAGAAATTCGTTAATGAAGCGGGGATGTCGCCTACATCATCAGCTTGCTTGTGAGAGCATTAAAAAAAGCCATTTTGAATGAGACTTTTAAGCATAGAATATGTCGATGTCTTCTTGCAAAAACCCAAGCATCGATGAAGTCCCACAAAAAGCTGATAGAGTTTCCACCTTGACTGTGGAGAGTTAACCAAAAATCAGCAAGTAAACAAATTTAAATTTTGGTTTTCACTTTCTTAGGCGTCACGCACTTATTTCTTTTCATTGTCATACAAAAGGAAATAAAGATATGGAGATCGTTCATTTTTTCGTGTTCAGCATACTGGCTGCGTTGCGGTAAATTTCTTGCGCAGTCAAGTGTAATGATGGAATTCTTGAATGGTTTTGAAGAGTCTCTAGCGACATCATTTCTGCCCATTGATTGCACTCGAAAGTTAGAGTTGAAAGTTTATGTCAAGGCAAATTGCGAATTCCAGTCGTTTCGTATTTTTGCAAAGAGAAGGAAACCAAGCAAATTAGGTTTATACCTCTTCGTCATTCGCATATTCCTTAGAACTTTTGAATACTTCTTTCAAAGCAGCTTTATCCTCGTCAGTGAGACCACTCAAGAATTCTTTCGCTTCGGGAGGAAGGAGCTCTGGAATGGTTGAATGGGTGCCCGTAACTAAGCATATTATTGTACTTACCTCTGTATTGCTCCGGTATATCGTTATACTTGAAGGTAAGGACGGAAAGAGATAGAAGGGGAATGATGACAACAAATGATCTAATCATTTCTAGAAGGAAAACATCACAATGCTTACCACATTAAAAAAAGTACATAAATGAAGATGCTCGACCGCATGGGACGACAAGAGAACTTTTCTGTATCCTTTCTAGATTTTTCTCGAAGTCATACAACGACGGCTACAGTAAACCATATTATTTTCTCGGAATGCGTTCTTCCAGTAAAGCTGGGAATTTACCTCCCACTGTTTGATACTTATCGTTTACTGATTGTTTATTACTTATCAACATAACGCTAGCATTTGATCAACGGGAGTCAACCCAAGCGTAGAAGCTGTTTTTTGTTCGTTTCTTCAATCAAAAAGGAATCTGTGTTTTGATTTCTTTACAATTAAAAAAGAGATACTAGTTTCTTAACTGGCACTGTAATTTACAATCTATATAAAAGTTGGATATACCAAGATATTAGTTTGCAACATAAGTCTTGAGACACTCTCACTTCTTACGGAGATACGTAAGTCATTTCACATTTTCATTAGGGTTCTAGGACACCATTCGATAGAGCTCTACAGCAAGCTCTACAAGATGGTTTGCAAAAATTCGCAGCAATATTGACCCACTGTAAGTTTGCATCCAAAATCTGAGTCGTACTGAAGGCTCAGAAAATCGAGTAAAATTCATATATTTGTTCAAAAAAAAACCCTACTAGTCTAGCCTACGAAAATTGCACACTACATCAGATGCTCATATGTACCGTTTCTGGATTTCTTCCTCATTTAGAAATCGAAAAAAAACGGAAACTTTCATGTTTACACAAGAACGAAGCTATGCTGTTTTCATTCCTGCAGTTGTATACTACAGTGCTGGATATAATTATGAAGGCACCCTAGAAATTGTTGTAATTTGCGTTATTGTTGATGGAACTGTCCGAAAATTTGCTGTATAGTGCGCATGTCAGCCTACCATGACCACTGGAAACGGCTTACAATTTTGTTGAATTCGAGCGGAAAAAACTAGAAAAATTCGAAAAACCTCTTACCGAGCTGGACAAAATATAAAGGCACCTGGTTTCTTCTAACACCATCGCATCCCCTGACTTTGAAATTTCTTGAACAGTTACATACTGAAATATGAAACATTTGCAGCATCTGCGATCTATCATCCTTTTCAAAGAAAAATGTTCAGTGCATTTTTTGCTTTCAAAAGCACCAAAAGTCAACCTGCTTCAACAAACAGTTGTTTTGAGGAGTTTTCAAGCTCTTGTTCGTCTCACGTGATAGTCATGGGACCCATGAGCCCTTTTGATAAGTGAACTGAAGAACGCTTTCGTAAGCTCTGCGTAATCGGTGAGACGGACAGACTCCAACCTCAACATAGATTTCTCACGCTTTCAACTCACAAAACTCAATTTTTAAGCAACAGAAAATACTATAATGTAGCCATTACGTCAGCTGTACAACAGTAAACTTGAGTGCATAGTTAGGAAGAATTTCGAATTTGGCATTATGGTTCAGCCGCAGTTGTCATCCACTGAATTTTGAGTGGAGCACCCTGCACAATCATAGCCAACTCAAATCACGAGACAGAATAGCGACCGCTCAAAACCTCAAAATCTTAGCTAATCTAATTCTTTGGACAAAATTTGATATGAAACAGAGAGGAAAAGTGTGAGATTCATAATTGTCTTGAATCCATTCCTCGCAGAGAATTTTCGTGGAAAATATTTCATCTAAATCGCGACCGTATCATTACGGAAAATCTGAAAGTTGTTGCAAAAGCTGCATCACCAAGTAGGCAATGTAATGAATCAAATCCAGCATTTTATGAACAATGCAAACTGAGTTTTATGGTTAACATGCGTTACATGTCTATGAGGTTGGAGTCTGATTGTCCATATTATCGATCACGCGAAGTTTACAAAAGCGCTCTTCACTTCATTTCCTAAAGGCTCAGAGGATTCCATGACTATCATCTGAGATAAACAAGAGCTTGAAAACTCCTCAAACCCGCTGTTTGTTGAAGCAGATTGACTTTTGATGCTCTTAAAAACAAAAAATGCAGTGATCATTTTTCTTCGAAAAAGAAAAATGATCACTACAGTTTTCTTTGATCACTGCATTTTTCTTTGAAGAGCATGATAGGTCGCAGATGTTTTTTTATTTTTATTTATTTATTTATGTGATACACCCGAAAGTGCGTCATCAAAAAAGAAAATGTTGCAAATGTTTCATATTTTAGTATGTAACTGTTGATATATCAAGTCAGGCGAGCCAAGGTATTCAAAAAACCAGATAACTTTATAATTTTGCCCAGCTTTCGGTAAGGAGTTTTTAGATTTTTTAAAGTTTTTTCTGCTCGAACTAAATTGTAAGCCGTTTTGAGTAGTCATGGTAGGCTAACATGCGCACTATGCAGCAAATTTTCGGACAGTTTCATCAACAACAAAGCAAATTACAACAGTTTCTAGAGTGTCTTTATAATTATGTCTAGCACTGTACAAGCCCTTTGGAGCTTCAGCTTTCTACAAACCCTAGTTTTCGAGAAATATTGATTTTAGCATGGAATACCCAAATAGTAGACTAGATTCGGGAGAACTAGGGCCTGGAGAAAACTGAAAATCGACGGTTGCACTCCTAACAAGGGAACGATCCCTACTTAAGGTGGCGAATTGGAATGAACCGCATACCATTAGATGCGTCTTGATGAGCTGATTCCAAATCTACCTTCCATATCTGCGACAACGTTATTTGCAAAAAGTTATGAGCGGTTGAAAATGTGAAGTTATTGGGGTTTTAATGCATAATGTGCTTCAAAATCCAACTTGAAAGTGCACGACTAGCATGATATTGAGTGTACTGATTTCACGGAATGCTCACATTCAAAAGAAACACAAATAAGTGTTTTTGAACAGCTAAAAAGCAACTAAAGCTCTCTGGTAAAAGCTATGAGCAATGAAAAATCCAAATTTGGCCAATATACAGCGCCATTTCTCGAAAATTAGTTGTTCAAAAACACTTTGTGTTTCTTTAGAATGTGAGCATTCCGTGAAATCGGTACACTCAATATCATGCTAGTCGTGCACTTTCAAGTTGGATTTTGAAGCATATTATGCATGAAATCCCGATAACTTCACATTTTCAACCGCTCATAACTTTTTGCAAATAACGTTGTCGCAGATATGGAAGGTAGATTTGGAATCAGCTCATAAGACGCTTCTAATGGTATGCGGTTCATTCCAATTCGCCACCTTAAGTTGGGATCGTTCCCTCGTAAGAGATTGTGCTATACAACTGCTTGAGTGAAAACAGCATAGCTTCCTTTTTTCATGAACAAGATAAAATCCGTTTTCTCGATTCATAGATGGGGGAAAAACGGGAACGGCACATATGAGCATCTGATGTAGTGTGCAGTCTTTGTAAGCAAGTTGAAGATACGTAGGGGTTTTTTTCTGAACACGATATGAATTGAAAGCGATTTTTGAGCCTTCAGTACGACTCAGATTTTGGATGCAAACTTACTTTGCGAAGTCGGTGCGAACTTTTGCAAACCATCCTGAGAGCTTGCTTTGTTTTATCGAGCTGTGTCCTGGAATCCTATTGGAAATGTGAACTGTATAAACTATCGCCGTAAGAATTGAGAATGTCTCAAGACTTATGTTACAACCCAATATACTAGGTACAAGGCAAAATGACTGGCTCAGGTGAAACTAGCGCATATATAAGTTTTTGCGATTTACTTGTAGACAAAATTTCTTGTGTTGCTAACATCACTACAAATGGAATGGCAGTTGCAAAGCATCATTCATAAATCAAAAGATGGTAGGAGCGTTTTCTAGCTGTGTTTGGTAAAAGCTCCTGAACCGGTATTACAGAAATTGATAGAGGCAGTTGCACCGCCAAGTCCGAAAACGATGATGTGGAGGTTGGCGGACAGATGCGTCTTGCAGGAATGTCAACCTTTTATAGGGAGATGGGCTAGACTACACTTTGTCGAGAGAAGAGCAAAAAATGGCGTGAATAAGGGATTGTGTGATGATGAATATGTGTGGTGCAAGTTTGCAGCCCGTCTGTAGACTACAGAGAGTGTGATAAATTGTTCTCGCTTGGTTTCTTACCACGCACACTACGTTGTGGCATTCTGGAAGTGTTTTGCCACTAGGAACAACCCCAGTGCACACGTAGTAAAGAGGACAGCTTTTATAATGGTTAATGCTCGCTGATATGCGGATTTTATTTATAGGAAAGGAAAACTCTTAGGGCTAACAATAAGCAGGGGTGAAATTGCAGGGTACTTTTCGGAAAAGAACTGGATGCTCTACATCTATGGTGCAGTGGCGTACCCCCCCTCCCCACACACAAAAAGGTTGCGAAATTTTTGAAAGCTTACATGAGTGCAAAAGTATGCGAGTGGTCTGTTTACACTTGTGGATAAATATAAATAATTCTCAAAATTTCAAGAAACAAGCCTAGCACTGTAAACAAGTTTTTTCGGGGTGTCACAAAAGTCTTGGGCATCCCAAAGGATTTTTCGGAGTGCGTGACTAACGCCACGCACCTTCGATAGAAGAAAAATTTGCCTCTCTCCCCAAAAGGAAATACTGGGACGGTTATGGTGAATGGAACAGTCACTCGCAAAACTTCGTGTTTATAGCTATGCAGAGGTAATTATAGTAATTTTAAGATGTTAAATAGGGTGGCACGAGAAAGATAATGAAAAAGGCCGTAGATTAAAATTATAATATCAACAATCTTTACTAAAATTCAAACGCTAGCTCCGTTTGTGAATTTCCACAACCTCCCAAGAAAATTCTACTCTCTCAGAATTTTTTAGATCATTGCATTAACCACGTACGTATTAACTACTATCCTTTTTGAGCTTTTGGCAAGCTTACATAAAATATGAAATACTCCAACCATTTGAAAAAAATCAGTTTGCATGGTTTCCTGCAGATCATGTAGATCGGTCTAAGTTTGAACACATTTCTGGTATGGGCGAGGAGGAGCAGGGGGGGGGGTGTAAGTTTTTCAAATTTCAAACAAGCTATATGCTTCTTGC